ATGGAATCATGTATAATCCACCACATGGAATCATGTATAATCCACCACATGGAATCATGTATAATCCACCACATGGAATCATGTATAATCCACCACATGGAATCATGTATAATCCACCACATGGAATCATGTATAATCCACCACATGGAATCATGTATAATCCACCACATGGAATCATGTATAATCCACCACATGGAATCATGTATAATCCACCACATGGAATCATGTATAATCCACCACATGGAATCATGTATAATCCACCACATGGAATCATGTATAATCCACCACATGGAATCATGTATAATCCACCACATGGAATCATGTATAATCCACCACATGGAATCATGTATAATCCACCACATGGAATCATGTATAATCCACCACATGGAATCATGTATAATCCACCACATGGAATCATGTAACTGCGATGACACAGTGAGAGTCAAGTTGACTCAATGGCTAGACTCTTTCCTGTCAGCGAAGGTCACCACAAGGCAAATAAAACAAACAAAACAAAAACGATTTTGGCTAGAAGATAAGATGCCAAGAAATGTCTTGTGGAGTAAAGATAATTGCTATGATGTTTGTGGCACCGTCAACTGTGTGCCTACTGGTTTGTCAGACAAACGACAGAATGGACTATAGGTTAGTGGCGTATCGTTTACAGGACGTTGCAGAACCAACTCCAACAGCCCCTGGCTGTTGTGTGGTTTTTTCAAGGCAAATTTACGTCCAGTAGTTTGTCATTGCTTTTTGGACGGTCGGCTTTCTTGAAAACACTGTCGAAACCAACGCAAGGCTCATGGCCCGCAATCCGGCATTACGAAGCGTTCGCATCGACTTAGCCAAAGAGCCGACTAGAATGGACTATATGATATAAATATAATCATATACTCGATGCGCCACTAACGTAAGAAGGTATTTCTTTCTTCCTTGTCATCCATCTCTTTGAGCAGCTAAGCTCCTGACTCTTTGACCCAACCAACATTTTCCATTTTCTATCTGTATGACAAGCTAACAATGTTTATCCCATATACCCCATTCAACCTCCATCTAGGTCATACTTTATTTATGCTAAATTGTACATATTGTCTATCTATCCAGTTTTTTTCCAGAGCATCTGTCTTGTCCATTCATAAGTTGTTTGTATATTGTGCATATTTCTTCACCTACTATAGAGTATTTGTAATATTTATCAAGTCTCTTTTTAATTTATTGCGTATGTCCTAATTATTTATACATTATAGAAAAGACTTTGGCCATTGATACTCCATATTTTACTGTGGAATTGTCCATATCGTCTTCGTGTCCCACCACTACCGACCGCGTTCACCGGATTGAAACTACGACAGCAAATTCGATGTGTTCGTCCACTTCTGGATTTTAGTTTTCTTCCAGAAATTGTGTTTTGCGTTGATATCCGCTTTTCAGATCTGACATGTGTATACAGACTGTTGGTTCCTTGCATATCTGGCAGATGCACTCGGACTTCGAATGATCTCATTATCTATGGCCTGAATAAACCCGAAAACGTCTGACCTGTAGAATAATTTGACAAGCCCTGGGAAGGCTTCTTTAGATATGTATACATTATTTGTTATTGTATAACTGTTTTCTTCTCCAAGATATTCAGTTTTTCTTCATGATTAACTTCGCCGCTTTCTATCTGACAATCTTCTACTCTTGTATCTCTACCTTTTGATGGATTATCATTGTGTGTCTTCTAGGGTAAGCTCTCTACAATACATGTCGACTAACAAGTCTCCAGAATGTTTTCGTACTTGTTTAATTGATCTCTTGATGATGTCTACAATAAGGGAATACCAGATTCCTTTGTATAGAATGTAATGACCATCATTTTTCAGTATAAATAAGTTTTGCGAGTAGTGAGATAAATATTGACGGACAATTAACTTGTGTCCGGCTTGGCGTTGCTCAGAATGACAGGCCTATGAAAGACGGTCATGGGATTAGCATTACTGTGGTTTGAAACAGAAATAGTGAAATCTGTTACAAGTATGCATGCGAATTAAATACACGAGTAGTAGGGTGAGATAACCGAACTTCATTCTGTGTTTGGAACTAGAGTGAGAGAATGGCAGTGTGAATGCGAGCGAGCCTGAATGTGTGTGTCATACTACAGTGCGTAGTGCTCGCTAATCAATAGCAGAGCAAACCGATTAGCGACAGAAGTCAGACAAGTCGCAGTCAGGCACAGAGAATATTCATTGTGTTTGTCAAGCCGCGTTTTCCAGCATATATATTGTTCACTTGTGCGTATGTGTAATGAGGTTATAAAGACAGATAACGTCAGATTATGACTGACTGACAGAACTGGGGAAGTCCCTAAAGTGAGAGTCATTAGTTTCATTGGGAAAACACAGAATTAATTAATTCAGGGGAAAACGCGAGATCTGGGGGATTGCTGGCGAAGAGGTGATTCTGCAACAGGACCCTAGAGAAAGGAATGGAAGTGAATCCTGAGTGAAGTGACTGTGGTAATTCATGTCTGAGGACAATGTCAGTGTCTGATCAAGTGTTGCTTGTATCGACTGTGTGAAGGCCAGTGTCAATGTGGCGTGGCTGTTTGCACAGGCGTGAGAGGAAACGATCCTTGCCTGGACAGCGTAAGTGTCAGATTGATTCTTGTTGTGTGTGAGAAATGGAATAAACCTGGAACTGGTCATCGTCACCGTCGACTATCCTTTGGAGTAATGTGATCGTTGATGGAAGAGAGTCTGCCCTGTTTATTCTACATTAGTGACCTCTAGACAACGATCTGGGTAGAATGAGTGGAAGCAAGGACGAGAGAGAGAGAGAGAGTGTGTGTGAGAGAGAGAGACAGAGAGAGACAGAGAGAGAGAGAGAGAGAGAGAGAGAGAGAGAGAGAGAGAGACCCAGGAAAAATAAAGAAGCCACTTCTTTATAGAAACATCTTTATGAGAGGAGAGAAAGTGACTTCTTTACAGTCTGATTTATCACTGTTGCCTGTTTACAAGGACAACCATTGTCAGAGCCTATACAATGCCCATTTATAATCTCAGGAGAAGTACATTGCCACAACCTTCCAGAAACACATTGACATTGCTATGTAATGCTAGTCGGCTCTGTCGCTAAGTCAGTGCGAACGCTAGGTAATGCCGGGATGCCGGGTTCCATCCCAGCTGCGGGCCATGCCCCTTGTGTTGGTTTAGACAGTGGTATCAAGAAAGCCGACCGTCCAGGGGCAATGGCAAACTACTGGATGTATTTGCCTAGAAAAACCACACAACAGCCAGGGGCTGTTGGGGTTGGTTCTGCAAAGCCCTGTAAAGGATACTTAACTAACCTTATGTAATGCTAAAGTACCTGGTTTATTAAACAAAGAAGCTGTGTCTCTATCTTTGTCTGCAGTACATAACTGCCTGAAACATGATTTTATTAGATACAGATGTAGTAAGTTGACCTGTGACAGGTAAACGAATAATTAGCGTAATCAGCCTCCTGGATTCAAGTAGAGAAAATGGAAGTCACCTGGAAGCAGGATGTGATATAACGAGACCAAGAGTTTCTAAGTGGTGGTCAGAATGCACACTATTTTTACGTCCAATTATTAGAGTTTGTTTTGACACATTGAACAGGATAAAAAGGAATGGAGGAATCGCCTGAGAGCTTCATGATACAAACGAATGAACAAACAAACAGTTACAATTAATGTTACGAAAAAACAAGACAGCATGAAGAAAACGAATAGCTATGAGCGACATTTTAATATAAAAAAAAAATTAAAAAGCAAAAAAAGCAGATGCAAGAATTGTCGAGACGACACAGCCTGTAATGATCAGTCTTTGACTTCTTGTGTTCTGGTGAGTGTTCGTTAGTGTTGGCACATCTGGTAGCTGTTTTATGCATTTTTACTTTGCGTTTCAAGATTTCATTGGGACTGACAAGTGTTTTTTTTTTTCCATTGTTTTCAAATGGAACAAAGAAGGCAATTGTGTGTGACTTTCACTGGCTCAGAAATGATGGAGCAGTTTACTTTGCTGACTTCAGAACCGCGACTAACCGGTTGACGTAAGTTGAATCTCTTTAACATCGTATGGACAAACAGCAATATTAGCCAGCATCAGATTTGTGCAGTAAATTGTAATAATGTGAACGAATACAAAAACTACCCAGATGGAATCCAACTTCCAGCGGTGCAATCAGTTGCGTAGGAAAGGGGGAAGGAGTGACGTGGGCCGGCCCTTGTGTCATCACCGAGAGAGGTGACAAAATTACAAAAATACATTTTGTCATTTATATATATATATATATATATATATATATATATATATAAGGTTTGCAACAACAACAAAATAATGGTGGAAGTGCAGTGTGACAGAAAATGTTCCGCACCAGTTACCACCTGACATTGATTAGCCACTGGGTGCATACCACAAACATTATTTGCCATCTCATGCAGTCCATTCCGTGTACACAGCCCTGCACCCCCTTCCTCTTTTTTCCCCCACTCCGCCTCACTTGTTTAGGGAGTGAGAAAGAAACAAGTGGAGGAGATGTGGCTAGAACACTGTTCATTGCTTGATTTTTGTTTCTCTAGAATATATGCAGTTTTTTAAACAATTTATGCATTGGTGATTCTGTCAAACATGATTTCCCCCACTCCCTAGTTTTTTAGGCTCCAGCTAATTATTATTGACTGCTTTAATTGTTTTAAATGTGTCTGTTTCCTGAGAACTTGTCCTTAGAGTAAAATATTAAGTTTGACCTAAGACTTTCACAGCTTCACAGTTGTTTAAAAGTAATTTTTTGCCTTGTGTATGCTATTTTAGCTAGATTTGTATTAGTGACGTATTTCGTCTCATTAGGCTGTTGTTTAACTGTCGCCCAACCCATTGACAAGGGACAGAATCATCTCATAAATATTCTACAGGGTTTTATATACTTTTGTAGCAGAATAAATGTGTAAATTTCTAAGCTGAATAACCATTGACAATAATCAATGTCTCCGTGCTAAGTTACTTTCTCTCTAACAGCCTCACATCGTAATGCTTAGGTGACACAATAATACCGCTTACATAACTGAGCTCAGGAACCGAAGCTGATGGGAGGAACTGGAACTTCTGGAACATGGAAGACAGAAAGAGGAACAGTTCCATCTTTGCCAGGGCCTCGCCAAGACACACACGACGACCAATGCCGAACGGGATGAACTGTTCAGGAACCTGAAGTTTGCCGTTGTTGTCAATGAAGCGTTCGGGTCTGAAACTCATGGCATCTTCTCCCCAGATGGTCTTGTCGTGGAGAACAGAGTCCAGGTTGGGCATGATGTAGGTTCCTTTGGGTAGAACATACTCTCCCAAAGCTACTTCTTCACTACATAAGTGGGTGACTGCAAGTGGGACAATACTCGCCAGCCGTTGGGTTTCCATAATGACAGCATGCAGGTATGTTAGTTTAGTTTTATCCTGTATGGTTGGGGCTCGATCGGTTCCTATCTGACTTTTGATTTCCTCATGCACTTTGTTTTGAACGTCAGGGTAGTGGAGCATGTACAGAACACACCAGTAGATTGTTGTACTTGTCGTTTCGGTTCCAGCTAGAAAAAGATCCATCATGATCTTCAGTAAGTTCCGATCATTAAGTGTGGTCGAAATACCAGCTTTCAACTTTTTGTTTCTTTCAATAATGTATGCATCTATTAGAGTGCAGACTTCATTGGCGTCTTCTGTGTGTTTTTTCTCTAGAAGAAACTTATTTAGCGAATCCATTATTGCTTTCATGTTTACTGTCATCCTTTTTGCCTTGAAGAAATCTCCAGGGAGATGTCTGAGCCACACGAAGAAGTGGACTAAACTGACATTCTGTTGGTCGCCAAAAAGTTCTTCCAGTTTGTGCATGAGCTCTTGAAATTCTTTGTCAGTGTACTCAAATCTATGACCAATCAGAATGGAGCAAATAATATTTGACGTACTAATATTAGTTATAACTCGGATTTCTGTGGGTTTGCCCTGCAGACTTGCTAGATAATTGATGTAACAGACAACCTCTTCTTGTATTTTATCAGCCAGAATGTTCTTGCCCATCCCGAAAGCTCTTAGGATGGACAAACCCACGGATCTCTGCTCTTTCCAGGTCTCACCGCTAGAGACTATCACTCCATGATTCTCTAAACCTAGTGTCTGGCAGAAAATAAGAAAACAAAACATACATTTAGCATCACTTTTGAAGCACCATATCTGTACGATAGTGTAAAATATAACTGTTCCAACTATGTCTTCTCTAGTGTACCGATTAGCTAGAATGTATGTGGAAGCTATACAGATGTGGTTTACATAAAGCACCATATCTGAACTATAGCGTAAAATATAACTGTTCCAACTATGTCTACTCCAGTGTACCGATTAGCTAGAATGTATGTGGAAGCTATACAGATGTGGTTTATATAGGAATGATAAGAACACCCTGGACATATGTGGTTTATATAGGAATGATGAGAACTCCATGGACAGATGTGGTTTATATAGGAATGATGAGAACTCCCTGGACAGATGTGGTTTACATAGGAATGATGAGAACTCCCTGGACAGATGTGGTTTATATAGGAATGATGAGAACACCCTGGACAGATGTGGTTTATACAGGAATGATGAGAACACACTGGACAGATGTGGTTTATATAGGAATGATGAGAACTCCCTGGACAGATGTGGTTTTTATAGGAATGATGAGAACTCCCTGGACAGATACAAAAAAGTAAAGGAGATGTCATGAAAGAAATTAACACACAGTGAATTTTTTAAGCTCTTCAGGTAGACACTGTCTACATTATTTGGCCATGTCATGTGAAGGAGACGCGGCGTCCGTGGCTAAGGCGTTGCGAGTCCGACTCGTAATCCAACGTACCGCGATCGAAACCCACTGCGGGCTGCGTGGATTTTTATCGTGGTATGGGACGTCGCAGGTCTACCCAGCCTTAAATGGGTACCAGGATGGCTGTCCTGGGGAAGTAAAGACGGCAGGCGTAATGCTGACACACTGAGTGCCGATTGGTTTGTAAAAATATGGGACGCTCTGCCCATATGCACGATGCGCCGAAAGGCGTGTATAGGGATCTTCACTTTACTTTACTTTATGCGAAGGAGACAACTGGAGTTCAGCGGGACAGTGGTGAAAAAAGCGAGACAGAAAAACTAATATTGTGGCTGGGAAGATTATGTGTCAGAAATAACTACAAATTCACGAGACAGAAGTGTGGGGATTTACATGACTACCAACAACACACGACATGAATTATATCATTATCATCATCATATCAGGTGCCTGATGGCGTGGGTGATCATGCCTATCCATAATCCACAATCTCCTACAGCATGTTTTAGTTCGTGTGCCGACACACCTCCATGCCATGCAACAAGACTTCTCTCGTCTTCCTCTGTCCTCCTTCCACAGATCTTTCCAGTGGTCAAAACATGTTCTATTTTCCCTCTTCTCATAACATGGCCGAAAAATAATGAATGTCTCATTCTGATGTCTGTGATAAGTTGTCTTCCTGTTCCCGTCTCTTTCAAAACCTCTGGGTTGCTCTTTCTGGCTGCCCAGGGTATTCTAAGCATTCTTCTGTAAAACCACATCTCTGAGGCCTCAAGAAATTGTTTGGCCTGCCTACCGATTGTCCAGGATTCACAGCCATATGTTAAAACTGGATGTATGTAGCAAGCAAGAATTCTTTTTCTAACCCTCAATGACAAGGATATATTGCACAAGATATTCTTCATTTTATAAAATGCAGTTTTTGCCTGTCCTATTCGGTTTCTTATCTCAGTAATGCATCTTCCATCTCATGTTATCCATTTGCCCAGATACTTTAATTTCTGTACTTGTCCTAAAATAACACCATCGACTTTTATTACACATTTAGGAATAATTATTTTCTTTATGAATTATACACAAAATTATTTTTAAAAAAGGGTCAACTTTTGTGCTTTTAAGAAGTCGGACACTTTAACAAATGCTTTGAGTACTCTCGTACGAACCAACACCAATTTGAGTATGTGGTTTTAGATTTCCCATGAGAAAAACCAAAATCCAGACATGAACAAACAACCCTAACTGTTCCTCGAGGTTAAGATTGGTGAACGCTAAGAGAAAAAAATACTGTGAATTTTTGATTTTTAAAGTTTTTTTCTAAAGAATAATCCAAGTAGATAGTTTTGTTTAATTGTCCAAGATCCTTTCAGCAACTTCAGCGTTATATCAGTAGTTACCCGATTGATAACACCATAATATGTGTACATAATAACAATTATTGAATCCAACTAACACACGAACCTTATCAAGGAAAAATGACGGTCTGTCAGAAAAAACGTCAGCTTTCTTGACCAAGGCTTCCTTGATGAGGTCGTAGCCGTTAAGTACAACAACCAAAGTCTTCCCCATGTACAAACTGTCAATAAACATTTCAGTGATGAATGTTTTAAATGCAAAAAAAAAAAAAAAAACGCCAGCACAGACGTAACATACACATCGTCATCATGTATCAGGTCCTTTGCAGAACGTCGCTCTTATTATGGTTTGTCTGAAAGAAAGTCGGTCTCTCGTTAGGTCGCTTGACTTGTGCACCTTCATGTTCGAGGCGTCACTTGCATCATGTGCCCTCTTTCGTGTTGTTCGGTCCTTGTCCCTCCTTTCCGGTATCATGCCTTGTGCTGTTTTGTTTTAAATCCAATCAGCGTTGCGCTTGATATGACCAACATATTTCAGCTTTCGAGACAATGTTCTGTTTATTACCCAAACTTCCTTGATGGTCAGATTTTTTAAAAATGTCCTTATATCTTCTTTTCTTTGTCCATTGTGTACTGAGAATCTTTTTACAGCATTTCAGCTCAAATGCCCTATTCTCTTCCTTAAGGACTGTGAGGCAGTCCACGGCTTACATCCGTATGTTTCTACACGGAAGATGCATGCTCTCAAATTTTAATTTCCTTGCTAGTGCTTAACCACAAACCTTTAATACTGTTTAATCATTTTTAATTGCTATGGCCATAATCCTTTTTTCCCCTGTCAGACAGTCTCCAATTCTATTTATTATGGAGCCTAGATATTCAAAGTTTGTCACATTTTCAAAACACAGACATTTACACATACTATTCCTTTTCTTCTTCTTCATTCCGCCCTCTTTTATCACTTTGTCGAGGGGGATATAGGATCTCGCTTCGAGCTCTTCTGGCTTCATAGACACACCATGGTGCTGTAGAGTTTCTCTGATGTTAACTTCCCATCTTGTTCTTGGTCTACCTCTTGGTCTATGTCCGTCTCATCTTTTGGTATTTGCCTTGCATGATATAGCACCAGAAGGCATCCAACTGTCCAAACCATTTGATACGATGTCTTATTAGGTAATTGAAATGGAAACACAAGGAAAGAAATTATTAAGAAATAATGATTGTCATTGGTAAGGCGACAGCAACTTTAGACAACCTGAATAAAATATGGAACCCTAAATATTATAGTTTTAATATTAAATTATGCATTTTAATTATAATGCTATTTCATTAGTAACATATGCAAGTGATGTTTAGAGAAATTTTTTTAACCACAATTGGGTGATCACAGGTGTTGTTCGAGAATCCTTCCTGATGTCGTCTAGATAGAAAGACATGGAGAAATAAACCGCCAGGTGATGTTTAAACGGTCTGAAACGATGATGGTGATGACGTGATGATTGTTACCTCTGGAGGCGCCTTGAAGACCAGGCAATAAACTCCTCCATGTCCACTTACACTGTCATTGTCTAGAATATGGCGCCACTTTAATGTACGACTTGCATATTTTATCTTGTCTTAGTCAGGTCCAACTGGGTATTTAAACTATTGATCTATGGGCGCCTGCATCTGATGGATTTGGTCCCTTGAGTCCACCCTTCCCACATTTTAAGGGGTCTTCAAATCAAACATCCCACCCAACACCTCCTTCCCCCACATCTTTAGGGAGCTTCAGGCCAACCCCCTCCCCCCAATCCACATATTTAAGAACACCAAGCGGCCCTTCCCTACAACCACGCACAAATGTTCCTTTGCACACCTATCGTTTACAATTGTAAATTATGATTTTTGCTAATGAGCACAATATAATTACTAATATTATTAGTAAACGAGCTTTTGTTTTCAGAGATCAGAGCCTGTTCTACAATGACAGGAGTAGATTACATGAACATTTTAACGGGCTAAGTTCAACAGACATAAGATGTAACACGAAAATAAATACTACTAAAACTAAAGTATTCACAGGTCAGTGGAATTTCTAATCGGTTACACATAGAGTACATGTTTGAAGCCTGTTAACGAATTGTGGGAACAACAACATGCACCAAATTCACTGAGAAGCAGAAGATCAAGTTGTTTGGTCATCACGTTTAAATGCAGCCCCAACAACTACCAATACAGGTACTGCACATGAAAATATCAGATGTGAAAGCAAGAGGTCACGCTAGGATAACATGGATTGACGACATTAAAGAGCTTCTACACTGAACGGAACGATAGTATTCATCGCTGCCCTTCAAGCAAGAGATCGCAAACCGCCCTATGGAGCTTGATGGAAACAGTGGACATTTTGGTATTATTAATATTTAATTATTATTAATATAGTAAAAATATAATAAAGAGTATTGGATAAACCTCAGTATTAATTACAAGCGCTGGAATGTAACGGAATTACACATACAATTCTAAACACTGATTGTACAAACGATTTAACACGGCTAAGGGAAAATATACTATTTAATAAGCCACTGTTATCACTTAGTGGATATAGTTCCTATACGTTCATTTACCTATGTTGAATTGTATTAACATGCAAGGAGCTTCAAATGAATACTACAAATGTGATATGAATTAAAGCAACCACGCCATTGTTTTGTAACATGTCAATATTTTTGTTAAGGAA